TCCTAAATAAACGCAAGCATGACCTACTTTACAGCATTTCTGTGCTCTTACGTGTGTAGAATTGCCTTTAAACTATAGATTACCACCAGCAAAGTGACAGTTTTTCACTTCTTATTTGCCTAGCAATCATGACGTAATTTGGGCTCAAACAGGGAAGCAAAGGCAGTTTTATAAGCCTGTAATCAAAGCTTGCAATAAAATGCAAACCATCGAGCGGATACACTTAAACAGCAGCTGAGTCGCCATTGCCCTTTGAGCTCTTGGAAAGTGCGGCCTATTACAAATGATACAAATAAACAGCTTCTAACTAGATAACGTGATTCAATTATGCCGTTGTAATTTGCGAAGGGTTACATTTGATGGACCTATGTCTGTTTTTCAAACTAAGTTTGCAGCTAGATTTAATTATGCAACTCGATGACATATTGTTTGTCCACGCTCGAGAAATCCACATCGCTTACTAATTTACCAATTAAAATGTAACAACTTTATTTGCAACATATTTCAGGCCTAATTAACCTGCTGCAGGTCTGCATACTGTAGTTACAACAATAGTTAAAAGAAAAGGTCTACTTTTGAAACGACTAGCAGGAACTAAAGTAATTGCTATCTCGGGATTTGCTGTATTCCGATCTTTCTTTGACGACTTCTCGATGTTTATGACATTTAAAATAGAGGTTACAACAGAAGACGAATGACAAAACTGCCTAAGTGTGCTTTGTTCCACCGGCAGATGCATGCAATAACTAGGAGTCATTTCACACTGTGGATCTGTAGGGAAGATGGATGAGCTGAAAGTAAAACCTTCAATAAATTGGTTCAACAAACAGATCAACAAGTAAAACAAGACTTATGGAAAGCACTCCGGTTACTTTCTCCAGTTACCCTTACGTCTCAGTAAGGCAACTTGTAGTCCCCCATATAAATGCATCTGATAGATCTCAGTGTTATTCTAAAGAGAACACTAGTATCATCTATAGTAGCATGGTCTTTTCTACACACCTAAGCACAAATCGATACCAAACAACTGCCTGACTTCCAAAAACATCTTTGAGATTCATCATACCTTTCTCTTTAGGGTAATAAGATAAGTAAATAAGGCCCAAGACGGAATGTAGCTAAAAATAAATAAATGGCATTGTTCTCTACCTTTGTTGAAATCAGTAATTATCTCAAGATTGTGGCTGCAAAGTGCTTTACCTGAGCGAGGTTTACAGATAAGAGGCTTGGAGATAATTACAACAGATAATGTAACAATTAAACCCCAGTTGAACCAAACAGAAAACATAAAAGGGAATCCATATATCTAAATCGCAGCCTCTTCTGGGGGCACTTGCATGTCAGATACTTGGTGGGGCCTGATGTGCTTTGCAGGTGTCCGAACAATGTGGAAAGGATAATGAAATAAAGGTGTTCACATTAGTCCAGCGAGTGCCATCAGCAAAAGTACGGGTGACTGAAAAGCAAAAGGTAAGTGCATAGCAAACTACTTTAGGCCGAGCTTATGTTTCTCCAGCTTTGGATGGTAATTGTGAGGGTTAAAAGGGCCATCCCAAGGGAAAGAATTCCTAAATAAATTCTTGTCTACAGCAGTTTACCAGAGGCTGAGATATGGTTTCAGCGGGTGCTTTGTTCAAGAGCTGGCTCAGTTGTCCCTCGGAAAAAGGACCATTACCTCTTCACTTTATGATCCTGACAAAATGTGAGGAATGTGCATGTAAAAGCAGCAACAATTCCACCCCTGGTGCTTTGGCCTTTCTTTCTATTCTATATTAAAACCGACAAGATTAACCTAAATGCAAACTGAGGAGCAGAGTTCAAGGGGGTATTCACATGGCAGTGAATGTTCATTTGTTTACCTACAAAACCCGACTCAAGTATACAATGGCTGGCTGTCTAGTGTAAGTATGCAAGTGAGAAGTCTGCTTTCAATAGGCCAACCACATCATGGTTATTAATCCAGCCATCCTCATCTTGTTCTTATAATTTATCTACTGATAACATTAAAAAAAAAAGAAAGAAATTACAGGAAAATGTAGGCTTCAATTAGAATTCAAAAAAGAAATCATCCAGATGTAATCTGAACTTCTGTGTCGGGTTTCTATTTTTATCTAATGTGCATCAGAATATTAGCCAAGCATAAGTAACGTGAAGGCAGTGGCCTGACATATGCACGAAACGTACATTTTAATGGCAGGGCTGTGTTTTATCTAACGCACGCACCAGATTCTGCATCTAACCTAAAAGGGATGTTTTTTTCACAACAATATCGCTAGTGACAGCCGACAAACTATGAAGAATGTATTTTATATCGTGTGCGGCTAATCAAGCACAGCCCTGTTTAGCCATGAGTATAATGTATCCCCATAATATTGCTTTCTAGGGCCAGAATATAAAACTAGAGGAGAAGAGGTCCTCAATCTTCTAATTACATGGAAGAGTGAGGATACATTTTTATAACTCAAAATGAAAAGTTATTACCCTACTATATCCCCCATAGTCATAGATTTAATGTGCTTCTACAAGACCAATGTACCAAATTCACATCTCATCAGAGCAGCAATGACATTCATATTTAATCACTGATCCCCAAAGTGGAAAATTACATTTATTATTAAATGATACTTTCAGCTAATGTCCACCTAATGTAAAAATACATCTGCATGTTTTAATTCCCCAACTAGCCAACAGCACAAGCACGTACTATCTTCAGGGTTAATATCCTCCAACACAAGAGCAAATAAGTAGACTACGCGCTACTGTACAATTCCCTGTAGGTGCCCATAGACGCGAGATGGTTCTCACATAATCTGGTCGCTTACAGTCAGATACAGAAATGGCCTTAGGTTTGTAAGCAGCCTGCGACCTCTACAGACACCCTCCTGGCTGACCAGTCTCAGATTTTGGAATTTCTAGGCTGATTGCTATTGCTCTTGAGATAAGGAGAGCACCAGAGATGGCATCTGAGTTTATAAATAAGCACACATCAATATAAGGGGTACATTTATGCCACAATCCTTCCAAAGAACAATCAATGGGTGGCCAAAGCTTCCAACCAGCACCTCATGCTCATGGTTGTCCTAACTTCCAGAAGAAATTGATGGCAATCTCCATTTTCTATGATTATTATGTAAACCAGTAATCAACACAGCCACAGATCTAAAAACCTATTTACAAATAAGCCTATGAACTACAACTTAGCAGGAGGACACAGCTATAAGCATGGCTTGATTTATCAAAGATTCTTCAATAAAAACTGTCAGTATTGTGCCTCAACCACCAATCAATATTACATTTCTCCAGCACAGGTTTAATCGCCTGATAAATGAGGCTCGATCTTATTAGACACAAAAAGACTAACATGCTCATGTGCAGGAACCTAAAAGGTTACCGAGCACTTTTGAATAATAAAATGGTTAAAAAAAAAACAATCAAATACTAGAACTTGGGGGCTGAAAACAGCCACATTAGGATTCTGGAAGGAGCAGGACTGAGCAATGTGCATTGGAAGACTGACCTCTGTAGGCCTGATTTGATCACTGTTTTTGAAATGTAACATTACATCTAACAAGTGAACCCAATGGATTTGGAGGGACGAAGGGTGCTTAGATTTGCCAATTCGGTAGCATAATGGTGATTTGTAAAATTAAAAAAAATACACAAGTAGCCTACTGAGAGAAGGACTATGTCACTGCAGGTCTTTGGGTGAAATAAGTCCCTACCTGAAATCATTGGTGCTAAAGAAAAAGAAAAAAAAAAGTGTTTTTTTTTTTTAATAGAAATCATGCCCACTCTACATCAAAGCTTGCTATTATATGCCATTAAAACGAAAAGGTGCTTCTCCCCTGGCTGTGCAATGTCAGAGCCCCACTGTTTCCTCAACCTTCTGGCAGGTAAAGGACTGCGGAAAATCACTTTGATGAAAACAAGCTCAAGGATAGAGAGCTGGCGAGCGAAGTGCTCCTATTACATGGACTTTTATATATCAGAAGTGAAGTAAGGGATGAAGGAAAGGCCAGCCACCTTTTCTACTCCAGGCTCTTGGAGGCATTATCGATAACAGTGTCATGTAAATGGCAAAGACGCCCGTCTAGTGATATGCTGATAATCCCTGAGTACAGTTCAAAAGAGAGCTGGGCCAGGCAAACAGTGCACACTCTTAACCTTCTGACTCCTTAATGTCTCCAAAAACTATCACCTAGGACCTCTGATATCAAGAGGAATTTCTATGGGGGGGAAAAAACAAAACGCTGGCGGAGTGGTGTTATAATTCTGTAACTTATAAAGGAAGAAATTGAAATATATTGATTAGGTCACACGAGGTTTTTCAAGCAAGGAATGAACCATGGCAAGAATCAAAGCTCTCTATAGAATTAAGGGGAACCCAGTGTTTTCTGATGATATGGGAAGGTTGAAGAGGACCTGTAGTGCTCACCATCCAGAGAAGAAAGTTTCCCCGGAATGAAGTCGGTGTGGGTCATCAGGCCATAGAGAGCTGCATTGTGTGTGTATGGAAATCAGCCTCTGCTGGAAGCTGAAGGGCTCCCAGTGTGTCACCCGGAGTCCCCCAGCCCAGGGGACACATTGATGGGCGGCTCTTCTAGTGACATGGTACGGGACTGATGGCACAGATGCCCCTTCCCACCCCCTGTACATGAATGAAGTCTATAATAGAGCGGCCATTAGGATTTCTATGTGCGACACTCCAGGCTGAGGACGTGCAGGGGAGAAGCGAGACTCCCCGCACTCCGGTGACCCCGGATCTGGCTGATGAACTCCGGGGGTGCAATGCGGCTTCCTCTCCCTCTACTACCACCATCCTATGGTGCGGGCACCAGATCTCGCACAACGCGCCGGTCTAGGAATGCGCTGCACGCCGTCCAGCAGTTGCCAAGGAGCTGCGTGATCTGTCACTTCCAATACAGCGATCTGCCCATACACAGCACACATACACAGTCACATAGACAGACAGACAGACAGATAAGCCGGACTCTACTTACTTGGGGTTGGAGGAATTCCAGTATATGGGATCTAATACTAAGGATCTGGAGATAGCAGTCCTGATCAACAGGATCCAAACTCCCAAGCTGTACTTCCACAACGAGTCCCTGCTGAGTGCCATGGTACAGGCTGATCCAATGCGGAGCCCTTCTATCCAGACAAGGTGCCCGATCACACGGAGGGGGCACAGCAGTCCCAGCACTTGAAGCCTCGACTATGACAAAGAGAGCGGCGGTGCTGCTCAGTCCTCACTCCGGAGGATTCACTGTAACTCCCGATGAACGATCAAACATCAACTCCAAGCTGGATATATACTGTATCCTCCTAAGGCATAGCATAACCCCACATTGAGGGAACAGGGATCCGTCATCAGCCCTTATGTGTCCAAGTGATCCTGGGGAACCAGCCGACGATGGCAGCGATCACAATGAATCCAGCGGATTGCAATCCCCCCTCCTAGGAGAACGGCTCGGGTATTAATCCGTCGGTGGGTGCCGGTAGCTGCCAGGACATGGGCTCAGTTCCTCCGCTCTGTCATCTCATTCTCCACACACTCAACTAAAGTAACCGCGGCCAGCACACGGCTCTGTGCCTATAAACCCAGCCCACCCTCTCCGTCCCGCCCAGCTCATTGGCTGGCCGGCGCCCGCCTAACACCCATTGGCTGAGCCGCCCGCCGCTCCAGCGCAGTTCGGGCTGAGTATTGTGTGTGACAGGTACAGACCTCCCATACGATGTAGTATGAACTCATCAGCATCCCGAATAGTCTTCATTAATATTCATTACGTGACCCGGTGACATCCACAACTTTTTACACATACCCTTACCCTCCAAATACACAAGCCTCGCTTGTTTCCGAGCCTCTCATTCAATATATTCTGATTAATGCATGGTAATTTCACAGGGCGTTCAATGGGTAAACAAGGTAGACACCTTCCCTTTAAATCAGCCTTTCTCAGCCCCTAACATGCTGGAGGAACACTTCAAATCATTTCATGTCACAGGGAACCCCTAATATTATAATATTATCCATAGCTCATATCACATTATCATGATCAGAAAGTTGTAAATATAATATTGTAAGATAATAATAACCTTTGTTAACATGGGGGAATCCTTGAAATCATTTCATGTCACAGGGAACCCCAAAAATAATTTCATATCTCAGGGTACCGCCGACTATTATGAAATCCATAGCTAATATCACATTATCATGATCAGAAAGTTGTAAGTATAATATTGTATGATAATAATAGCCTTTATTAACATGGAGGAACCCTTGAAATCATTTCATGTCACAGGGAACCCCCTACTATTATGAAATCCATTGCTCATATCACATTATCATGATCAGAAAGTTGTAAATATAATATTGTAAGATAATAATAACCTTTAATAACATGGAGGAACCCTTCAAATCATGTCACGTCTCAGGGAACCCCCCTGATAGTATGATTTCCATACCTTACATCACATTATCATGATCAGAAAGTTTATATACAAGATTGTATGATAATAATAATGATAATAATAACCTCTGGAGGAAGCCTTGAAATCATTTTAATGTAGATAATATTGTATAATAATAATAATAATAATAATAATAATAATAACAATAATCATAACATTGTTAAACATAGAAGAACTCTTGCAATAGTTTTCATGTCTCAGTGAACCCCTTTTAAATGATGGTATCTACATCTCACAGTGCATGACCATGATCAGTACACTGGAAATATAATATTGTAAAATAATAATGATGAAAATAAAAACAGCAATAATAATAGTAATCATAATGATAATTCTGATACTAATCATGATAACAATAACCTTTGTTAACATGGAGGAACCCTTGAAATCATTCTTATGTATCAGGGAACCCCTGCTAAATTATTACATCTACAGCTCAGAAAGGCATTATAAAGATTGGTAAGTTGCAGTAACTATAAAAATACTAACAAAAAACAATAATAACGATGATGATGATGATAATGATTATGCTATTACTAATGACAATGAACATAATATTAATAATAAAATAATTTTAAAAATGCGGCGTGCCTAGCGTATTTGAGACCCTGAGCGGATATTTATTTGTTTTTTAACACCCCATAACATCTTTAATAATAACCATACAATTAAGGAATAATAATGGGCTGAAAAGATACACAGACGGTGATGATCGACGTGTCCCCTTACATTAGTGATCAGTGTGCTTGGTGGTCATTTACATCGGTGGTCAACGGGAGGGCGCCCTTACATTAACGGTCAGTGGAAAGACACTCTTGGATGGAAGACTGCCCTTCTTACAGACATCTAAAAAGATCATTGATGCCAATGATTACTTAGAGACAGAATGTATTCATTGTTGAAGGAACCTCTAGCAGCCTTTGGAGGAACCCCAGGGGTCTACAGAACCTTGGGTGAGAATGGCTGGTATAAACCTTTCACAGCCGAGCTAGGGATCCGATCACATTAACATGAAAAGTGTACTATTCATACAATAAGTGCTTAAATGTTTGAAAAGCAGCACTGTGTATTTAGAATGGACCTAGATCAACTCAGATTTTTTACATTGTAACAGTGACTCTATCAAGAGTTAAAGGGATTGTAAATGGGGTGATAAATTCAACTCAATCACTGATAAGTTCAACTCAATCACTGAGCTGATCAGATCTTCTTCCAATTGTACTGAAGATAGTTCCATACTGTGCATTCAATGTGTACGTAACTGGCTGATACATGTGTAGACACTTACTAAGAGGAGAACATTTCTCACTTAGTTCCGTGAAGCTGAATTCTCTTCCAACATCTAGTCCTTGGGTGTTTCCTATTTCTACATTTCTGTATATGCCACGCATGAAGATATAAAGATGGAGTGATTTGCAGGAGAACATTTTTCACTTAGCGAAGTGAGCCAAATGTTTGAACAACCAACTGTGTACAGCAGAATTTAAAAAACAAGGAATTCTGGTCAGGAACCTATCTGCATGGAGTTTGCATGTTCTCCCTGTGCCTGTGTGGGTTTCTTCAGGGTACTCCAGTTTCCTCCTATACTTCAAATACATGCCGGAAGGTTTATATGCCCCTACCCAAATCAGCCCTGTATGTATGCATGTGAGATAGGAACCTTAGATTGTAAACTCCTTCAGGGCAGGGACTGCTGTGCATGTACAATATGCAAAGCGCTGCGTAAAATCGCCAACGCTATATAAATACCTGTAATAAAAAAAATAAAAAAATAAATGCAAGTGCAAAAATAAATGCAGACACA